TTTACATTTAATATCACGTTAAATGAACTACTAGTCTGAACTGTACAAGAGCCAAGCACTGGGAATCAAATATCCTAACAAGTATGTTGCTGAAGTATTTAAAGTTGCATACAACTTGTTCAGACTACCTTACAGTATAAGCAGCTCTGCTATGTGGAATATGAAAGATAGTGTGTGCAACTCCAGCCTTGGAAAGGAAGCATAGCAGCTGCTGAATAGCTGATGTAATAAATGCTATAAAATAACCATCCCCTTGGGTGACTGCCATACTTAAATGGCTTGCTAAAAATTAGGGAAGAATAAGGTGGTATCTTTCTAGAGCACATTAGGTGGATTTTTTTCAAATTTTTACCAAAAACACAATTTGTTCTCTCGGCGCACTAATTTAAATTGGTGTTTATTCCCCCCCTCTCCTATTTGTTTTTATACTGGAAAAAACTGCTGCACCAGTTGTCTGAAGCCACATAAGTCTTTATAAGAACAAGTGATGGACACAAGTGCATCATTGCAACTGATATTTTTTTAAGAGCTTGAAGATTAACAGTGCCTGCAAAACTGTGAAGAAAAAATGTTTGCAATTCTTTTAAACACTTGAGATGATACTGTAATAATTCAGAAGTCTACTCTAACTGTGCTGCCATATTGAAGCATGAGCTGCAAATATCACTGGAAATGATTAGCTAAGAATTTCAGTCGCTGAAAGATTTGAGCCTTTCTGTCGCAAGCATGGTTGTGCAAGCATTATTGCAAGGTCTCAAAAGAATATAGGAATCAAGTGTTTATGATGGTGCTTTACTTCAAACCTGCCCCCCTCCAGTAAAATGGAGGTAATGATACTGAACTGTGTAAAGTGCTTTGAAATATCTTGATGAAAAGACGTTTTTTGTGAATCTCACTCAAGGAAGAAGGGTGTTTGTACCTGAAAGCTTGCAAAGAATTTTTTTGAGCTATATAGTTGGTCTAATAAAAGAGATTAGATTTACCCAAAGAACCTCGTCTGCCTATGTCCTTAGACCAACACGGCTACAACCAGCACCCCTTGCTCTAGGTTTGTGCTTTGCTCATCACCTTAGTAGGAATGTCTTTCAATAGTGCAGGAAGCAGCATGACCAACTCCTGGGAAGGAGGGGTGAGGGTGTGTGTATGTGTGTGTACACGCACATGTGCTCTGACAGATGTGCATGTAGTGGAGGCTGATTTATACATGTACACCTCGCTTTCTCTAACCACTTAATAGCAACATCAAGCATGTACCATGCAGTTAAAGAAGAGGGTGAGGCTTGTGATGGTCCTTTGTAACTAAGGGAGGTCATTCCACAATTTGGATCATCCCCAAAGAGTATTCTTTTTCTTGCATAGATGAGCTTGCCCTTGTTGCAAAACTGAATTGGAGGAACAGACTTGTCAACCAGAGTCTTTGTCTATTTGGGAGCCTTGGGCATCCCTTTAACTTAACTTGCACCCTTGATCGGACGGTGACCATGCTTTGTGGCTGTGGTGCGCCAGATTGTTTAAAACGTCCTTCAGAGCACAGAACTGTTCACTACTTTTCTCTTTGTCCTTTTCCACGGGATTTCCTTGCAGCATCCAGATAACTGTGCAGGAGCAGTATTGCAGTTGAGTGGACTCCAGTCTGCTGTCCTTTACATTTTTAGTTTGGGGGTTTCTTAAAATGCTTTAGCTTATTACTTGTAGGAAGAATCCTTTTCCATTTTGAACTGTACAGAGAGACCTCTGCTGGCCTTCAACTGAATTTGCATTGTGGGACTGTTTCCAAGCACAAGTAATAAGAGCAAAAGTAGATTGGAATTGGAATCTGGGGAAAAAATGCTGCTTTTTTCTAAATCATGTTTTCATCACTGTTATTCATCTAAATGGGCAGGAGAAATGAGCAGGCTGTTTCTAGATTTTTATCTCACCAGAATGGGCAACGGCCAAAGAGCAGATCAGAAGATGCAATTTATTCAGCTGGCCATTTCTAAGAGGCACAAGGAGCTCAGCTCTGGAAGATGAAGGCATTTTGCATTCTATTGCTCATGCATCTGACATTTCTGTGCGTCTCCATTGAAGAGTTCATCTCGAGTTGCTTTCTGTGAATAGCCAGTCAGAAATTCATAGCTAATGGAGAAGAGGAAGAGACAAAGTGGAACCAGATGGGCTTGTGAACACAAACACATCAGTTCACTTAGCTTGTGGCATGACACTTTCTGATTTTTATCTCTGTATAATCAACTCCTTAGTGTACTGGATTTCTCCAGTTTTGAGGAGAAAAATTCTAGGGACTCTGTTGTTGTTGTTGTTGCCTTATCCTTCCCCCCCCCCCCCCCCCCCCCCCTCCACTTCTCTGGTGTTTTCTCTTAAACTAGTTTTGGACCCTTTTTTTTTTTTTCTTTCAGAAGTACCTGAGACTTATGACTGTTCTCTCTAACCCTTACATATCATAGTAATTAAGCGCAGGAGTGTTGAGACTAGGTAATAGCTCTGCTTATGGAAGTGGGTGCTGTAAAACATTCATCCTCCTTGAGAACCTGACAACTTCATAACGCAGCATTCATTTGTATGTACTGTCTGGTGTGTGTTCATTGTGTTTTGTCCCTCTGAATTTCTAGAAATTAAAAAAACCAACAAACTAGAATCAAACCAACCAAACAGCAGAACGCAAAAAATTAAAATTCCCGGTGATATATTGAAATTAGCCTTAATTAATTCACTGGCTTTCTCTATATAACCTGCTCAACTTAACTGTCTGGCATAGGGCTTTTTCAATTTGTCTTGTTTTTTGTATCTTATAACAGTGAGCAGTATTGTTAATATCTTGTTAACCCATTTAATTTGATAAGAAAGCATTCTCTGCTATTATGGCTTTTGAGCCAGTAGGGCTTAGATAGCAAATATCAAAGAAAATGGGCAATAACAGACCTAGCAGTTCCTAGAGGCAAAAACATAACTTGATTGGTACCCATGTCAAACCTCAGATTCTTTAAATCAGCAAAATAATTGTAGGGTCCTCCTGGCATCTTTGGAGGAGCAAGTTCTCAATGCCTTTATTTCCCTCTGTAAAGTCCAAATTAGTCTCTGGATCCATCTGCCAAAAGTTTTTGAACCTTGTGACTAATACATTTGCCTGCATCTTGCAGGTCATCTTCTGAAGTTTTGATATTTGAAAATTCAAATACTTCTCAAATAGCGACCAAGGTAGTATTGCATATTATGGCCAATATACTGTGACTGCTAGAGTAAGCCATTCTCATATTACTTTAATTGCACTACTGTTCTGTTACTCTGAAGGGTGTGAAAACTATTTTGACGCTCACCGTTTTTCGACATTTTTCTTCAGTGCAGCAACAATGGTTTAAAACTTCACTTTCTCTTTCACCAATGTAAGAATAGCAACTTTTTTTCTTATCTGCTGATTTTTATGATGCTTTCAGCTTTCCAAATGTTGCAGTTTTTTTTATTTAAAACTGTTTTGAATCTAGTGTAGGAGCATGTAACTACTTTTCCCCTCTCTGCTTTAAATGTTAGATGACCAGCCAGAGCAGGCTTGTTTTAACTGTTGTGTAGATCCTTGTTACATGTACTGTTTGGAAAAAAAAGTGTCTTTAACTTATACAACCGGCTGACAATAAATGTATATTATCACTTTAGGTAGTGACTAAATGCACTATAGGATTGCACATTAAATTTAAGGCTAATGTTCAGCCAAAATCTAGTTGGTCTAAGCCAGTAGTTGTCAACCTCTTCTCACTTGTGGACTCCTAAAATAAATAAATAATAATAAAAAATGTAAATGGAGGCATGGACCCCTTTAAATTGGAAGTATGGGTACTCACATACTTTTGACTGATCATAGTTATTTTTTGCGGACCCCTTAGACATAGTCTGTGGACCTCCATGGGACCACAGGTTGAAAAGCCCTGGCCTAAGCAATCTAGATCTCATTTGCTATAATTATGTGCTTGCCATTTACATGTGTTTAGTGTTTGTGCATTTTGTCTTTTTTTTTTTTTTTTAAACGTTAGGTGTAGTATTTTTTTCCAAATAAAATATTGGATACATGAGTTTAACAGTGGCTTTAGGAAGCAGATTGGCTAGCTGTCGCATGGAACACGGCACGCTTGTGCAAGGTAAATGCTGTTCTAAGCTGTTTAGGCTGGAGAAGGAGCCTAGATTTGGAGGAAAATCAGGTGTAGCCATAATTCTGCCTCTTACAAAATCTGCAGTCACTGAAAGACTGACACTGATAAAGCAACCACAGTTGGCTTTAGAGCAAGAGACCAGGGCATATGCAAGCAAAGAGCAGTTTTAGATTAATATATCAACACATCTCCCCTGCATTGCATCAGTGCTGCTCTGCCATGTTAAAAACAAATGATTGGAGTCTCTTCCTCCAGGTGTAGCATGGGGAGGCAGCTAGGATTATGGATCCATTCAAAGCTACCTATGTAGCAAATATATTTGATATTTTCTTTTCTTTTATTAGCTAGTATGGTAACGGTTGGCGGGCTGCCTGGAAAGTATTCTAAACTCCACCCAGAGCAGGAGCCTGCAAAAAATAAATTCTAGTGTATGGACAGCTTATTCTCTTAACAGCTCTCTGGTTTCTACTCCACTATAAATATTTACCTTTATTCATCAGTCCTCAACAATTGGCTTACTGGCTGTCATTGGCAAGAAGCTAACATGAGAATGTGTATATTTAGATTTACTGGACCACACCAGTTGATAAGTTATTAAATGTGAAGTTATTGGGGTTGGGGAAGGGGGGGAGAATAAGGTTTTGGTGTTCTGCAATGGTGTGTAACTTTTTCTGAGAGGGAGTTGGTGTCATATTTTTCTCTTCTTTATGGAAGAATCTCAGAGCTTTTTTCCCCAAACATAGTGGAGCAGGGTGTTGAGTTCTGGCCAGTCTTTTCCCATCGATCACAGAACTGTTGTTACGAAGAAGCCAGCCCCATGTAATCTAAATATTGTTATTTCCTGTCTTCTCTTGCTGGCAGGTCCCAAGCCTCTGCGAAGATCTCCTGTCTTCTGTTGACCAGCCATTGAAGATCGCTCGAGATAAGGTGGTGGGAAAGGATTATCTATTGTGCGACTACAACAGAGATGGGGATTCATATAGGTGAGTTCATATCCTGAGGAGACAGCTGAGATCGTGAAAGTTTCACTGTGTGAATTGCTACTAAAGAGCAAAGCCATTTCCTTTTCCTCCTCTTGTTTTTTGATTTTTGCCAATAAAACCAGTAGACCTTCCTTATGAGGTTAAGTTTCCAGAATTGTATTCTAAAATCTCTTGCCTCTATATTCAGCTTTAGAAGACCATTGAAGGAAGCTTCAAAGAGCCTGGCAATCTTTCCACTAATTTGACTGGTAGGAATTAGATGTGCTAGCACAAAATTTAGGTTTTTTCTTTATCGGTGGAGTTTGCTCTGACTGCAGTTCCTTAACAAATCATGTGAGCCACTTCGCTGCATGGCTGATGTCAAGTGTTTTCTGCAATATGGCTTTGGTGGTGTTACAGTCCACCAGGGTTGGACATCTGGCGGGATCTCTATTGGTAATGTATTGCGGTCTCTGTGGCAAAAAATTTGCAGTGTGGAGAACAGCAGATGCTAATCATGGTTTTGGTTTGGCTGAACGTTACTTTCTCTTTCTACAGTACTAGGTGAACCTGCGTACTAGGTAAGCCGATTCTTCTCAGAAGTGAAGCTTAAAGACCCAGCCTAAGCTTTTAGCAGTTGCATGCCACTTAGGGATTCCCCTTTCCCCAGAACATTAAAAATGGCTAATGCGCAGTGTGGGTTGACTACAGAGAGGTTATATAGTTGGAAGAGGAGGGATTTTTCTAGATGACAATGCAGAAGGTGTCCTTTTGGGGCCCCTCAGGCTCCTGATTTTTTTTTTTTTTTGAGAGAGCCACCCACGTCTGCATATACCAACAGAAATCCAGTTCAGACAGGATCCAGGCTGTCTATGGAAACTCATTGTAATTGTTTTGGTTGCTTAAAATTGTTCTTTCGGTTTTTTGTTCTTGAAGTATTCAAGTGTGAAGATTTCTATTTTAAACTTCAATCGCGAGCAGATGGTGCCACCACCAGCAATCAATGGATGTAGAGGATCCAGAGGCAAGATTTGCAGTCTAAACTGTCTTTTTTTTAAATATGACTTAATTGCAAAAGGAGCCAAAGCAGTTCTTGCATTAGAATGGCAGAATAAAGGTTCCTGATGTGGGAGTTGCCATTCTGTATTCAGCTTCTCTTTTGATACTTCTGTACTGCAGTTGCTATTAGAACTATTACTGTTTATCAGTAGTTTCAGTAACCAACACTTAAAGCTATTTGTTGCCTTTTATTCCAATGACTGCTTCTTTGTAATATCAAATGGCGGTGCCACATTCCCAATGACTTCACTGAGGCACAGAACCATTGTTCCAAAAATCTTTAGGAATATGAAATCACCCAGTCTTTGCTCCTCTCTTAAATGAACATGTTCAGCTGATTTGTAACGGCCATAGTTGATCTTTTTATCCCAGGCTAACAAGACACAGCCCTTCTCTCTCACCTTATGGTTGTGATTATAAGGGTTCCATGTTTGGCTTCCACTGCTACTTTGGGGTATGAGCTTACGTTCTTTAGTGGTGACAACTGGAAATGATCTGCTGCAGTATTTTGGGCCTGCCCTGCTTGAGAAGTAACATAGTGGTGGTTTCCACTCATCTGCTTAGAATGATCCAGGAACTTTGTTCTGAGATGGACTTTGCTATATTTTTTGGCTGATATTTTCCAAAACTAGACAGAATATCTTGCAGAAGTAGAAGGCTTGGACTTAATTTCTCCCTCCCCTCCAACCAGATTTTAAGATTGACCTATTTTGGCCAAACTAATCTTTGCCTCAGTTTACCCATTCATAGCTCTATAGGATTATAGAATACTTGTTTTGCCTTTTTTAAGAGGGTACACATTGTTCATAGATCATTAGGGGCTGGAAGGGACCTTGCAGATCATCGGGTCCAGCCCTTCTACTCTAGGCAGGAAGACAACTGGGGTTAGGTGACCCCAGCACGGTGACTGTCTAGTCTCATCTAGTTTCATCATCTAGTTTTGATTTAATATGGGAGAAAATAATGAGGTCCACTTTATTCTGAAGGAAAATGGTGGGAAATGTTTGTAATGGGATGCAAAACTTATGAAAGCATCCTTGCTTGAGTTGTTGTGGTGATGTGTCTGAGCCAGGAAATAAAATAGTGTCTGCAATGAAGTGTTCATCAATCTTATATAGGATACTGCTCCAACAGATGTTGGCTTAAACCCAAAGAATCTAAAACGAAGGTGTTCATGCATTAGATTTGGATACCAAAGTTGACCCGGGCTGAATTGGTTTGCATAGCCTTTCCTTTAAAACTGGAGTCCCGGGGAAATTGGCTGAGGTCAGCATGGGTTTGAGGAGAACTATAAAAGCATTTGACCCAGGTGAAGAGAGTTAGTTTCTTTTTGCTTCTGGGAGGAGACAAGGTCACAGTGGAAGCCTTGAAATAAAATTAGTGTTCAAGGTTAAAGTGGTTCTTCCTTCTTGAACTGGTTGACACTTTCAGTTATACTTTCAAAAATAGATTGTCCCTGCGACTTTTCGGGGCAAATTTTGGAACATTGTCTGTGCTGGTCACAGTTGGTGGCCAATTTTCAGACACTTCCACGCTTTCTTTTTCTTGTAAATTTTGGATTGGTTTCTGAGAACAGTTCTTAGTCTAATTTAATTAATGTTAGGCCAGAATTCAAGGAGAAACTTACACTTTTAATGGAAATCTCAAAGGCTCTTGAAAGATTCACAGAACTATACAGTACACTAGAAAGTCTCTACTCATACAGTGCTGCAGTCAGAACTAGCCTCAGTCTTAATTTTGGTTGAGAATCTGCTACTTGTACTTGCCCATTTTCATTTCATTATTACGTGTTCTTCTAGTGCTTTTTTCTAGGTTTTCAAAGCATGTAACCTGAAATTAAATCTCTCCAGACTTCTGCAAGGGGGAGAACCAAGAAGTAGGTTTTCCTGACCTCTGTGGCAGCATTCTCTTCCAATAAGACAAGGGAGTCTTATTGATTTCAGTGGGTGCATCTACATGTTCATTAATGTGCCTTGGGTACTGCACATTTCGTTTAGTACTTGCTTAATAGAGTTCTGATCGAGTGCTCAGTACTTAGAGTTACTGCTCAGTAGTGCCGGCACGTTTTTTTCATGACGCTTACTGCGTATTAGCCTACTGCGCAGTGTTGTTAGGCTGTTAGCCCAGTTTTTAACTGCCATGCTACTGTGCAGTGTTATTAGGCTAATGTGCAGTAAGCGCCTCGTGTAGATGCACCCAGTGTAACCAAGATTTCACCTCTGGGACTAAATACTTCAGCTCTTCCTCCGAGAATTTTGCTTGAATAAGGACAGCAGGATTTGGCTTCATGCTTACAGCAGTTGTGGCATTCAGGTTGTCCCTGTTCTCTACCTTTTTTTAATTCAAGCAGGAATATTGTGGGATTGAGTTGGAAGTGAGAGAAATGCAATACAGCTTTTGGGGCAACACATGCTATTGAAATCTATTCCCTTTTTTCAGATTTAATTAACATTTATTTTATGAACATAGAATATGACTTGTCAAAAAGTTCCTTTTTAAGGTCTTTTCCCTGCAAAGGTAAGGCTAGTAAATTTTTTTTTTTTCCTTTTAGCTTCCTCACAATTGCCTGCTTCTACTTTTAGTAGCAGCTGCCATGCATATAGTCCTGCCTGCACTTGTGACTTCCCCTGTAATAACAACGGTGTCTGGGGGATATCAAGGGGCCAGGGAATCCAGAGTGTGAAGGCAGAGCTTTTTTTGATATAAAACTTCAAGGACTGACTTTCTCCACACATTTCCATCCTAAGTATGTTTGATCATTCTCTTAAATGGAATCCTTATGGGGAAGTCGGTGCCAACAGCACAGTTTGAAACCTGTTAGCTGAAACAAAAAGCGTTCTCTTTTAGGGAAATCAGAGGCCTGACTTTTGAAATCTAAGCACTTTTGTCCATCTGTCTTTCTTCAAATAGAACACATTTAAAAGCTTAAATGGAGGCTAAGTGCTCTTCCACTAAAAACATTTTGGGGAGGGTTATGAATTTCTTTAGATAAAATGACTGCTGGCTCCAGCTGTAATGGTTAGAAAATACTAGCCAGAAGAAATCCAAGTTATAGGCTTCTCTTAAATTTCATTCCTGCAGTCTGCAAAAGAGGTCTAATACTTGCTCTGAAATTGTCCCCAACTTCAGGGAACCTGCAATGTTCAACCTGGTTCAGAAGCAAATGGGATGGCATGGCAGAATGGCATTGAATGACAGATTTTAATTTTTTTATCCTGCTGTCTTTTAAATATTAAAAGATACTGACATGCATACTGTTTTCTCCTACCCTGATTTAATGAATATCAGAACTGTAGCATGTTTTCATGCGCTTCCCCCTCTCCCTCATCCCCCTAATCTGGAAAAAGTTAAACAGTTATAACAGCCATGACTGTCCTCTAGTGAGGATTACAATTATAGACCCTGATTCCAATCTGGACATGCACAAAACCTGTTTCGGTTTATTGGGGCTCCGTATGAAGCTGTTTGCAAGAGTGAGGCCTTAATGCTTCTGAAGAGGAGGTCCAGAAATCGGAAGTAAAGGCTAGTGGCTTTGAAGTGGCTTTCCATTCCTTTTGTTATTTCATGTTGGCATATAACACATGGAGTAAGATTGTCCATTTAATTTGTGGCAGGACTGGAATGCGGCTTCTATCGTAGATCTGTATTTATAATCTTTCAGGTCTGAAGTTGGATGCTGGACAGCTCTAGATCTGTGGAGTAAGCAGCAACCCAGTTCGGTCTGGAGTTTAAAGTTGCATACAAATTGTTGCAGATGACTAGTTTCAAGGTGTTAGAGACTGGCTTCAAGTCAAGTACCTACCAATTTAGGCGAAGAATTCTTGCTGTGGGTGCAACCACATGAACATTGGTTTCACACCTAATGCTGTCTTTGCACTCCCAAAACAGCTCTTGTGAAATGTTCCGGGGCATCTGCCTGCCTACAAACAGTTGTCAGCCTGGGGCCAGAAATAATCTGTAATACGGCATTCCCATAAGCAGCTGAGTTAATGTGGACAGTTTGAAAGGCGTTTTGGGTCCTATTTTGCTTTTGCCTATCATCT